TTTCATGTTAGTTGTTTATATGTCCTTTTTAATTATTAAAATGTCAGCCAGTTTCATTTGTAAATTCAGTATTTTATCTTTTTCCAGATCGTGCTTATAGTCCATCATTTTAAAAATCCACATTCAGTTCTACTTCGGTTTTCTCTGATAGAACTTATTCCTCTTTCATAACATCATGTTATGGAATTTGTCTATGATGACAGACATTTTTAAAATTAATTTATGACTCTATTGTTCACAAAAATATTTCAGTTCATTCAGTGTTATAAGGTATTTGGTTCCATTCTGTATTAACAAATCAAATAGATTTTCTTCTCCTTTAATTGTAATCTTTACTTTCTTTTAGCTCCCTCTAGTGTCCAGCCTTCAAAATCCCATAATATCATGTTTGATTTTTTAGAATTCAAAACATGGGCTATTTTCCCATAGGGATGATTTATTCAATTAATTTCAAAAAACCTATTTAAAGTCCATCTAGATGGGCAATTAATTTTCTCAAGGGGCCACATGAGAAACTGTGACTGTTGTGGAGAACCAAACCAATAGTGAAAGTAGTTGGCACACATGCAGACCCATATGTAAATTGATGAAAAAATAGTCTGCTTCAAAATAAAAGCAATGCAGTTGTATTGCATGGATGGTGTACCCTTATTTACATTTGAGTTGTACTTTCCAGTTTACCTCACATAGGTGGACAGGGACAGCAAAAGGGCTGGATGTGGGTTGGAGCCATAAAATGCCCAGGTCTGATCTAGGCCCTTACATCTTTCCTAAAATAATACTCTAATCATTTTTTTCTATTTGTTTGCCCAAATTGTGAAATCTTTAAAGCTCCACTTAAAATTTCTTAAAGATTGAAGGAATCCCAGTGAATGCGATCAAATTTGCTGCTCCTAAGGTTCTTAATATTTTAAAAACAGTAAAAAAAAGTAATTCCAAAGGTGATTAGGAAATGAGGCTCAGCCAAGCTTTATGTCCACATAGGCTGCATTACATTTGTGGACATAGATGGGATCTCTCCACTTATCACCCAACTGCAAAAATTCTTGGTAGTTTACTCATGAAGAGCAGCTGTCCAGAGTATATGTGGTCAATCCTCCAATCTCTCTCCAGAGAGAGCAAAACTCCAGAGAGATTCCATCCTAATTAATTAATCCATTCCCCACTAATTTCAGCTGTAATGCCATCCCCACAGCTTCAGGGATGTCTAGATTCCCATATCCTCACTGAATGGCCTAACAATCAGCTTTAGAATTGACAATGAAGATGGTGAAAGGGTCAATAACTTTTAGGATCAACTATCAACAGTAAAGGAACAAGAAATACGCTGCATACTAGCCATGGCCAGAACAGCCATGAAGACCTAGGAAACGATATTCAAATGCCTTGATGTGTCTATACCTACAAAGATGAGAATCATGCAAGCCATGCTATTCCCTGATACACACCATGGAAGCAAAAGTTGAACTTTGAAGAAACAAGATAGGGAGAGTACTGATGTTTTTGAATTTTGGTGTTGGAAAAGACTGCTGAGAATATTGTGGTTAGCCCAAAAAACAAACTAATGGATCATTGAACAAATCAAACCAAAATGTTCATTCAAGATATAAGTAATTAGGCTCAAATTACTCTACTTCACACACATTATGTGAAGACTTGGGTCTCTGCAAAAGGATCTAATGCTGGGAAAAGCAGAAGAAAAGAGAAGATGACCAGCAGCAAGGTGGATGGGCTGTTATAAAGGTGCACATTTGGGAGACCTGAAAGAACAGATTAGGCATAGATCATCTTGAGGGAAAAATCTGTATGGTTGCTGGGAGTCAAGAACAGCTTGATGACACATGATCAATTAAATTAATATATATTGTTACAAGAATTAAATCTTGACTTGTTTTCTGCTGGCCCAGAATACAGGATACAGAATAATGAATTTAAATTCCAAGATTTTTGTTGAATATTAGAAAAAAATGCTAACTGTAACAGCAGGTAGATTATGGGACTATTTATCTAGAAGATGGTGAGTTCACTTTTACTGGAAGTCTTCAAGCAGAGCCTGGACAGACATTTGTCAAGGATGTTTTTGATTCCTGTGTTATACTGTAGTTTGCTTTGGATGGCCTAAGTATTCCCTCCAAGTGCATGATTTTATTGTTCTATAATATCTTCAGCCTTCTTGTACTGGAGGAGGGTTCCGGTATCATTTGTGAGCTGATAGACCTAATGACAACCATGGGGGTGTCAAAAGTAATAGTGGTCACAACACATGTGGGAAGACACACGCTAGAGATTTGGAGAAGATGAAATGTGATCTGAAAATAACACTGATATCTTTCTTTTGCCATAATCAAACCAGTTCCTTATTAAACTGAGGGTCATGGATACCTGAACTTTGCATGAGGAACAGGCCTTTCAAAAGTAACTTTTATACTTTCCTGACAATTTGGTGGGCAATTCTGTTTTACGCCCTCTGAATTTCTGGAATTCAGAGGGCATAAAATTCTGAATTTCTGGAATTCAGACATTGAAAAGATGCTGGATATGATTGGGCCTCTTTGGTCACTTCATAATCATAGCCACTGAGATAAAGTGACTAAAAACATACATAGAGCAACAGTAATGGAAAACCAGATGTGGATATGACCAAAATTCTCATTACATGTTGGCCAAATTCATGCTCTTTCTAATTCCTTTAGGTGGCTGGTGGGTGTGAGTGGTTGGATCCAGGAGATCAGCCAGTCTTGCTTTGAGGGAAGACATAGTGACACAGCTTTGAATGCGTAGGTGGTCACATTCTGAAGTTTTTCCTGAACAGATTTTGTTCTGTCTCCAACCTTCTCTTTTTATGGAAGATTGTTTAGAACAAAGTGAGAAATCAGCTATAGAGGATCCTAAAGGAAATGGTTTATTTGGATCTGTACCAGTTGGAATTCAGACCCAGTCATGGGACAGAAATGTTAGTGGTGGTGGTGGAAGATAACTTTCACTAAGACCTAAATAGTGAAAGTTTGTCCATTTCAGTCTTATCAGACTCTGCAGTGTTAGATACTATCAACTGTCTGGATTATCAGCAAAGATTGGACATTGCACTACATAATGGTGATTCTCTCCTATCTGAGCAGGGGGCTTCACAGGGTTCACTGCTCTCCCCAGTAATTATTTATCATGCACATGAAAGGCACTATCAGTGATCACTATCATTGGTCTACAGTAAGGTGTCATCAGAATAATTAAGCAATGAAACAGTTTATTTGACTTCGGTCCTGGGCTCAAAGTTTGGGTAGCCATTTGTCTGGGATGCTGTGAAGATTCCTATCCAGGACAAGGACATGGACTGGAAGACTTCCAAGGTCCTTTCCATCCCCATGATACTATGATTCGATGAGTATGCTAATGACATTCATTTATACATAACTATCCTAGGTTGTAGAAAGCTTGAACTAGGGTTTGGAAGCTGTTAAAAATTAGATGGGGTGAAATAAGCTAAGACAAAATATTATCTGGGTTGAGATGTATTAATAAATATTCAGGCAATTTGGAAACGTTAGTCCTTGCAGTTATCTTGCATGGAATTATTCTCCCTCTAAAAGAGTTGACTGATGATCTGGTGTCCTTTGCTTAGCCTTTGCCCAGTTGTAGCAGATTTGCCAGTTATGTCACTATCTATATTAAGATGCTCTGATAGTGGTAACTCATGTCTTAACCATCATGCAATTGGATTACTGTGAAATATCTCACATGGGGCTGCCTTCCAAGTTGACTCAAAAGATGCAGTTGGTGCAAAATCTAGCAGTCTGGTGCTGCAGAATACACAAATTTAAAGTTGGTCATGGTTGTTAGTGAGTTTCAAGGTGCTAATTGTCACTTATATGATGTAGCACTGGAATACATCCCATACTAGCCTGCTAAAATTGAATCCACCTATCTGATCTGAACATCAAAAGAGATTCTACTAAGAATTCTGTGCAGGCACTATATAAAGTGTCCACTATGGATGACATTGTACAACTTCTCACTATAGGTAGTCCTTAGTTACAACCATTCATTTAGCGACAGTTCAAAGTTATGACACACACACCCAAAAATACTTATGATCTGGTCTGCAGTTACATATGTTGTAGCACCACAGTGATCATTTAACCTTACAACCTGCTGCAACAGGCCCCCTGCCTATTTCCCCTTCAATCCTGCCCACTCGGTCCCCACCGGCAATGGGCCTGCTTTGCTAGCCCATGGGGTTCCATGTGCTCCTCCCCACCCTGTCACTGATCACTCACCTTTCAAAGATCTCCAGACCTGACGATGTCGGGGTAGAAAAGGAGAACAGAATGGGCCATGTGGCAGAAAAGTGGCCTCCGTTTTCTCAGACCCTGGCAAAGCTGTTTCCCTTAGATTTCTTTTCTTACACATGCTTCCATTCCCTTTAGAAAAGCCTTTTTGCTCAGAGGAAGCTCTTTCTATTTTCCTCTTTGGAAATGCCTCTGTCTCTGCAGACCTCACAATAGATCTCATGTTCTTACATATAATTCCATCCTCCCCCACAAAAAGGCTTTTCCAAAGAGGGCAGGAGCCTGCAGGGGTGCAATAGATCTCATGTCCGGCCAGGCCTCTGTCCTCAGTGCAAAAAGGCTTTTCCAAAGAGGATGGAAACATGTGTAAGAATGCAAGATTGAAGGAAAACAGCTTCGTCAGGGTCTGAAAAAAGGACACATTAAGGAGAGCAGGGATGGGGGCTCATTCATTTAATGTGATTCACTTAACGTTATGACCATAATGGGCAGGCTCCTTTACTGTCGTAACTTAACAACTACCTGTGCTAGGACCATACTCTGAAACATGCCTCCTGTGGAGGTATGGTTTGCCCCTTCCATCTTTCCACTTCGTAAAATTGTTTGAACTGTCTTATTCCACTGTCTTTTAGTCTGGTTGATAAATAAAAGTGAGGAGGCTAAGGGAACAACTCAGTGATATTTTAATTTCATGTTACTTTCTTCTCCTTTCAGAATAAAGAGTATGTTTGCCGAGGCCATGACTATGAGAGGTTAGAGACCTTCCAACAAAGAATGCTTAGTGAATTTCCACAAGCCATTGCAATGCAACATCCAAATCACCCAGATGACAGCATATTGCAGTGTGATGCCCAGTGTATCCTTGATTAATGTTTTAGAATTAAGTTACCAAAGTTGCTGCAAAATTAAAAAGATTTCACAATTGGAACACATTATAGTAATTTTAATATTTTTCATTGCCTGCTTACAGACAGTTAAAACTTCAACTGCAATGGGGGTTTGGGTGGGTTGCTTAAAAATAGAATATAGCATGCACTGTCAGATTTGTGAAAGGGAGCTTTGATATTCATTATCGTACATGTTAATTTTTCCTAACCTCATAAAATTATATTCTGTAATTTCCTGACAAGATCTTTGTTTTTACTTCTACAGTATTTCTATTCTAATATCCCCCTCAAAACATTTTTTAAAAAATATGTTGCATATTCCTCTTTTCCCTGTGAAGTGAAATCAAGAAATAAACTTTTAAAAAGAATGAGAATGCCCAAATAAACATGTTCCCAGAGTGCCATATTAGTGTTTTGCAGAAAAAGCAACAGAACTTTATAG